TTCAATAACATATCAAAATGACAAAATTTAGTCATCATGTACAAGCAGAATATAATAACACAAATATTGCAAGTTATTATTTTATTATTGTATAATCATTACAGGGATATTTTAAGTAATGATTTCACATTTAACATTTCTCTCATTTATTTAAATGTGAACAAGAAATCCAAGTTTAATTATAAACCTCCAGATTTTCAAGATCGAATATAATTAAACAAGGTAGAATCATCTATTCAATCATTAACAATTAACGATTTTCCTTTAAATTTTGGTCTTTGATGTAAGATGTGCCCCACTATTTTAGCGAGCACCCCAAGACATCAATGAAGTGTTAACCCATCAATCCAGCTATTTTATATAAAACAGGTGGCACTACCTATTTTAGTCTAGTGGTCCCATTATACATAAAATATTTGGCATCCTTATGCGAGATATAAGTAGATAATAAATTTTTAACAAACCCTATCCTTTGTGGCATCAGATAAGTTAAAAAGTTATTATCCAAGTTATATCTCTATGATGGAAGACCTTTAGATTTATATTTCTTAAAAAAATAATCTATCTACACTTCTATACAACTTTTGTTATTTATTATAACTGAGAGAAAATAACAACAGTCAATTTCTAATAAATTCTAAACTGTCTTATTTAATAAAACAAATTCAGAACAATTCTGGACCTTACAGTAATTTTTCATGTATTACTTTAATCACATGAATTATTGAATTTAAACAATTTAAAATCAACATGATCATATCACAAGTATAATACAAACAATATTTCAGAAATATACATGATATAATATCATTTCTAACAATTCACTAAGAGTTAGATAATCTTTTCAACAAAGGAAACTAAACTATACATGCATATGGACTTTTGAACAAATTCTGTAAGTGCTAGGGACTAATCAAAAATTAGTCTATATATTCAGATGGATCTTAAAACAGTTTCAAAATCTATCAGGAGGGTGAAGCTAATTTCACATCAAAATTAATATACTAGTAGACTCAGAACAATTTCTGGATCAAACAGGGGTCTGTAACTAATTTTACAGTTATTCATCAATACTGGTGGACTTCAAAACAGTTTCTGAATCAAACAGGGGTCTGATAGCAATTCATCAATATTCACAGACTCCAGAACAGTTTCTGGGTTTTTCAGGGAGCTATAACTAATTTGATAGCGTGTTTGAGAACCTGATGGACTTCAGAACAATTTCTGGATCAATCAGGGGTCTAATAATAATTTTACAGTAAAATTCAAATTATCAGGGTTTCGGGTTTGAGTTCTGTTTGCGGGTCAAACCCGTTTCATTAAACTTAAGTCTTAATGGGTTTGGATACATAACCCTTTATGAAAATAACCCATTAAGATCATCTTCTTCAATGAAGACCTAGGGTTAGGGTTTTGCTATAATTGTGGGATAGCCCACCACCACCAATTGTCCGGCGGCGGCGGCGGCGGTGAGCCCACCGCGGCCGGCGGGGCAACCGCACCTGCGGCCTATCTCCGGCGACCATCTCCGGCGATCAACCAAATTATTATTTTTTTGTTTAATATTGTTGTGAGATCAAATCTCAACTCCGGCCATCTCCTCCTCCGCCGCCCATCCAATAGGCCACAACTACATTGATAAAGTAATTATAACAATTTAAAAACTCTATTTAGATCAAATCTAACAATAAGCTAAATATTACAACAATTGAAAAAGAAAAATTCTTTGATCTAATCATAAGAATTTTAACCCATAAACAATAACCCACTATTGTAAACATTGATTTCAGGTTATGAACAGTACCCACTCCGGCCGTGAACAGTGTTCTCGGCGATGAACATTTTTAATAAAGAACCCAATTAGATCACATCTAATCAAAATAAATAACTAAAATACTTGATCTAATCAAAGAATCATAACCATGATCATATCAAAAACCCTCAATTGATCTCTATCAAAAACAAATAATTTTTTTTTGCGGATGAACAGTAATCCTTGATCTTAATCAAAATAATCATAACCCTTGAACAACAACACCATAGTTTGATCTAATCAAACTTTTAAGTTAATCTAATTAATTTCAGTTTAACAAATTAAACTGAGATGAATAGTAACCCGATGAACAGTACTGCGCCGGATGAACAGTGTTTCGGCGTTGAACAGTAATACCGGTGAACAGTGTTATCGACCACGAATAGTGCCGCCGATGAACAGTGTTTTCGGTGGTAAACAGTACCGCCGCAGAACAGTGTTCTCGGCCATGAACAGTGTCGCCGATGAACAGTAACCCGAATTAAAAAAATAATTTAATCTTATTAAATTATTACATATTGGATTCTAAACCCGCTCTGATACCATCTGTTAGAATCATGACATACAACGCAGCGGAAAAAGCATATCATGACTATTAATCTAAATTAATTAAATATTAGAAGAATACCTGAAACGCTTTCCGAATTTCTACAATAATCTGTCCCGAGATCAATCCAAAATAGCTTCCTCAAGAGAAAAAGCCTCCAATTGAAATCCACCCGTCACCGTAGAGGAGCAATACTGAGAGATAGGTTCTCAAAAATCTATTTCTTCATATTATCTTCATAAGATTTTCAATCTCTTCTCTTGACCTCTCATAAGGCTACATATGAACCCTATTTATAGGATTACACTAGTCTTAGAGATTTTAACTTTAAACAATTCATAATTATCTAGAACTCTATCCATAACAATTAAGGATAGAATAGATTTGTTCAAAAACTTTATCCATAACAATTAAGGATAGAAATAGATTTATTCAAAAACTTTATCCATAACAATTAAGGATAGAAATAGAATTGTATTGCATGTATACCTCTTCTAATGACATTAGTGAGACCAATTGGGTCCCATATCAAGAACCAATTATTAATCAAATTAATAATTTTAATTTAACAATCAAATCCCTATCCGACCAATTGTTCATAAAAGCTCTTCCATAATATGGGATTGAATAATATCTTACATTCAATCCCTTCCAGTATCATATATTTTAGGCAACTCTTTTAAGCAGGACAACTCACCTATTTGCTCATGCCTAAATTTGCAATTCCCATGAACATAAATAAAAAACATTTTGAAACATCAAAATATTTTATTTTTTATAAGAAAGTAAATTTTTAAAATATTTTTAAAACCACCTGCCGGCAGGAATTTAATAGCTTCATGGGAATGCATAATAAATTAACTCATCATAATGAGCATACTGGATCCTATCTAGACATCCATCATTTTCCTAAATGAAATTTAGCAACCCAATGTTTCAGGTTGTGTAGCGCTTGCTAAACAAGCTTAACCATCACATCAAAGCATACTAAATTATCAAATCGAAAATGACAATATCATCAAGTCAAATGGACCATGTAACAATTTGAATTATCTATCTCTTAGGTGACTCATCCTAGAGAATTCAAATATGATCTAGTGCTACACACATCATAATGCGTGCTTATGACATACACCCGGAGAATCTCCATTCCCAATGGTTGAGACCCACCACCATATCTCATATATTGGTGTCATGCATAATAACCTGTTATAATAAAGTTATCCTTTACTAGTTATAGGTTAAGCACAAATTTAAGAAATTTCTAAGTTAGATCATATCTCCAAGCAAGTGACCATCATAGTGCATGATCTAACAAAATAACTTCTAAGGATATATATAACAATTATATAAATAATACCCAAATTATGTGCAACAATTAAATTTATTAACATTACAATATCATTACATAATTTATATTGGATGTTCAAGGGCAAATTATTATTACTATTCCAGCACCTCCTCCGCCACATCAATCTCCTCTCGAACCCAGAGCCTCCGATGCCGCCTCAAGTCACCGCTGAAGTCACTGCCTCCGATGCCGTCTTAAGTCGCCGCTGAAGTCGCCGCCTCCGCCACCTCAAGTCGCCACTGAAATCGCCGCCACTTCCTGCGATAGCAATCTTTCTCAGGTGAATCCCAATCTCAAATCTTTCTATAAAATTCAGTCAAATTTTCTATCTAAATTCTAAATGCACATTGTAGTCTCGGATCTAGGTTTTCCCTTAAAAATTTGACCGTTCCTTTGATGTGAATTTTTGTGTGTTCATCTGTGCATAAGATTTTTTGCATTTTTTAAATATATTTGTTCTTTTGTTTCTTAATTTACTACAATATAGTGTTTGCTTTTTTGGGTCTAATCTAAGGGATTAGAATGCAAATTTTTCTGTTTATTTCTGTATTATCTGCAGATTAAGAACTAAACAGAAGAGTATTCCGTCAAATAATATATTGGGCTAGATTTTGAAGGGTATGCATGTGTCATTGTTACTTCTCAGCTTGTACACTGTTGTGTGGAGGATAAATGCTCCTCTCTGTCTTTCTTTGCCATTTTTATCTATGGTTTTGCTTTGAGAAATTGGGTGACTTGATATTTGTTGCAAGTTGGACAGAGTTCTTATCAATGGTGAATGAGTGACTTGATATTTGTTGCTTAAACAAAAGGAGGGATATTTGTAATAGTGTGAGGATAATAACCAACCCTTCTTCTTAAATAAGTGTGAGGATATTGGATTACTGTATGCTGCTTTCAATTGACCCTCGTATTTCCACTTGTGTTTTTGTCGTAGTCTAATTCAGAAATATGGAAATTTGAGATTTTGTAACTTGTTGTATGCTTGCTGCAAAGAGAATTTACCCTGCAGTAAAAGAAACTGTGCATTAGAAACCGTAGTTGATATTATTCACATAGTACCAAAAAAATTAAATAGCCTCCAAAGTGAGTTCAGAAGTGCAATTAATGGAGGTGATGCTTTATTCCACTTTTTCCGCAATAAAGAGAAGTCCAATATGGAGATAAAATGAGAATCATGAAGATATCAGGGATCATTTTGATAATCAATGGCTCGCCTGTTATAGGACAGCTGTTAGAAATTTTAAGAATATGAAATTGACTGGTTCCATCCCTTTGAACAAGTAAAAACATGATTTTGGTTATGCTTACAGATCCATATGTGTATGTTTGCTAATTAAGCATTTTGATCATGACAAATTTAGAGCTATAGGAGACAATCGATGCATACATTATATGTGCACATCCTAAATGCGTATCTTAGATCATACACCGATAAAACTATCAAGGACTAAATACCAGGTTTCATGTAGAACAGAATTTACCTGCAGAAAATTTTATACTCATAAACTTGCTTCTCTAATGAAATTAGTGTACATCATAAACTTACTTAATGAAATTAGTGTACATCATAAACTTGCTTTTCTAATGCTGTTGGCTAAATATTGATTGTTGTTCTAATATGTATTTATTTCTCACAAGTTTATGTTTCCTACCAAAAGTTAGAAATTCCGAAGTAAAAGGACCCTTGGATGTTGCCACTTTCGAATTTTGACAATTTGCAATTTAAGCGTCCATAATATGGCACTTCTTGAGATATTTGATCCATAGATGGATAGAAAAAGCAAACTCAAATCCAATATGCACGCCATCAAAATATAAACCGTGGGCAATACAAAGATTTGTACAAAGTCAATAGGGGTTCATTACTTCCCTCTAATTTCAATGCGGTTTGGTAACCTCATATTAGAGATATTATTAGATAGCCACCATGTCACACGTGGCTCTTTGTAATATGTCAGGGCTCATGATTCAAATGCCATTAGATATATGTATACATGCCGTTAGGTACCATGATGTATGACCTGAAAGAAATTCAGTGATGCCTTAAAATCAGCAAAAGCTGAGTTTGTTCTAGCTCTGCTACATGCGCAGAAGTCGAACACAACAAAATATTTGTGCACATATAATAGCATAACTCCACGCAAATGAAGCCAGAAAACTGCAGCCAAACTCGCAAATATTCACACTACAACCTCTATTAAACTGAGAGTCCAGGTAATAGTCCAGTTATCTACAATATTACAGTCATACTTTTTCCCTTATACTACACCAAAGTAAAAGAGCATTATGGCTTACCTTCTAACTTGCGCCTGCGTCGACGGTTGGCTTACCTTCCAAAAATGAGGATAATAACCAACCCTTTTTCTTACCATACTCCTCTACATAACTCTGAAACTTCTCCTTGGCATCAGGGATGTCGAGAGCCAAATCATCGATCCCATCCTTAACCCTAGAGAACCCTTTAGTCATCTGGTTGATGGTGATCAACCCCTCGCCAAAACACTGCTGAAGCAGCTCCAGAATCCTCTCGTCGCTCTTCTTCTCCATCGCCATCACCAAAGCTTTCTTCACAACTTCATGGTACTTCTTGAGGTGGAAAGGCAGTAGGCAAAAACTTCTAAGGTTTAATTTTCTTATTGTAAATTGTTCTTCTATTTATAAACTGATGTTGAGAGGGTGATGCCATGTTCCGGGATCTGCACAAACATTATTGCTTTGGAAATTCTAGGAATTTGAATCTAAAACCAGACCTTATATTGGAGTCCTGGTACGTGCTACATTGATACATTTGCCGGGGAGTATGTTTGCTAATGTGGAAAGTTCTCTACTATACAGAGATGTAGATTTTTTTTGGGTAATTTTAATATCTATTTTGCTTTGTGATACGTTCTCTACTATACATAGTTTGATTCTGTTATTCTGAAACCAACAGACATCTTTCATTTAATTTTCATTTTGTTGCCTTGGTCCATTATAACTCGTTTGTGCTATGCTGATGACCTCTTGCTATTTTGTAAAGGAGATGTTGGTTCTGTGAAAGCAATGATCAGCTGTTTTGACAATTTTTCGAAGGCTACAGGTCTCTTGGCTTTGGTTCCTGTATTTACTATCCTGTTTCCTGTTCTCGTAAAATCATAATTTTGTTATATGATTACGTATCTGATAAGTTCTTTGTGTATTTAGCTGATCTTTAGTCCCCTGGTTCCCAAAGATCGCATCTTGCTATCTAGTGTTTCATTATTATGACAATATCATACGTTTGTGACAAAATTAACTAATTCTATGAATGATTGATGCAGGGGAAATATTGAGGTCTCTATGGTGATTTCGGATTCTAACCCTTGCTATGAAGATGCACATATGAGGCTTGCTGCAGTACTTTTAATGTTGCTATTGAGTCCAACTGAGTGTTATGTTTGTTTCCTAGTCTTTTCTTTCTTCTGTCATGATCATGTTCATGCCTGAACATTTGAAAGATGGGAAATAAGTGGACTATGGTTGTGCTACTATTTTGTTTATAGACGAACTTACTACTCTTCTAGTTTATCAAGTAATTAAGTAGATTGTCCTTACTAATCATGATCGTGTTGCTGATAGTTATGATGACATTTATATCAAGTTATTGATCTTATACAGATCCTTATATACCTTGTGTTTTCTATCTTAATTCATTTAAATATTCTCGCAATTTTGTTGTTATTGATCTTTTGGTTTTTGGTTTGGAAATTTGAGGTTAATTTTGTAAATGTGTGAGGTTTGTACTTTTATCCAGGCTTGTAAATGGTTCAATCATGAACTTGTCTGTCTTTGTTTATCTTTGTTTATGTTCCTATCTTTGTTAGTATTTTATCAAAAGCCCCAACAAGTTTGCAAAAAGCTCCCAAAAAGTTTGCAAAAAGCCCACAATAGTTTACAAAAAACCCCCTAAAAGTTTACAAAAAACACCCTAAAAGTATTATACATATATAGTTACTATACTTAAATGGGCAAATGGGCGACCCGTTTATAAAATGGGCGGGCAAAAACCCGCCCATTTAAATAATGTTAAATGGGCCATAAATGGGTAAATGGGCAAAACATGCCCGCTCATTTATGACCCGCCCATTTAAAACCCATACCCACCCATTTAACATCTCTACACTGCTCATCCATAAAGGTATTGCATAATCCCTCATCATCAATTTTACTAAAACTATATTCCAAGCGAATGTCAGCAACATGTCTCACATCTTTGAGAACTAACCTTGTGCCATTGTAAGTCACCGAGAATGTAAGATGTAAATATGTCCTTTCGCAAAGTAGCATAATGGAAGCACTACTATCAATCACCCAACTAGTTTCTTAATATGAAAGATTCACAACATCAACATCACACATAAGAAGGAAATCTTCAACAGTGGTTGTTACTTGTTCTGCATTCTTGTCTTCCTCTTTGTTACGTTCTTTGCCCTTCTTTTTATTCTGTATTTTCATTTTTTTAACAATATTTCTCGGTATGACCTTTTAAGCCACAATAGTAGTAGCATTATTCAACGTTAGCATGTCTTTACTGGACTTGCTTGTACTATTATTTACATTTTTTGAACCTCGGCTCTTATTCTCTGCTCTCGGCAATCAAAACTCCTAAACGTGAATATGAACCCTGTGATTTTCTCTCATCTCTTCATTCAAAATACTGCTTTTGACCAAATCCATCGAGAGCATACCATCTGGAGCTAAGCTAGACAATGACATCATGAAATGTCCCTCAAGAATCTAGAAAACTACCAAAAAGCCATAATCCAGGAACTTCATCATCCAATTTAATATTCATTAGAGAAGTGATAAATAATCCTCTGGAATGAATTCAAATGATCTGACAATGGAGTGTCATCTTGTATTTTAAAGCCATCATTTGCTTAATCAAAAAATAGCTTGTTGTTCCTAGTCTTTCGAGCATATTATTATTCGCTCAAATAGGACAGGGAAGACATCATTGTAGAGGGAGAGAGGTCTCCATGACTTAGGCTTCAAACAAGCAGAAAAGGGATCTGGTCCGCTTACTTTTTATTTTTGTTTGGATGGGACCGTGTGCTGATAGAGATAAGTCGAGGAACCATCAACTATATAACAAAGTGGAAGGTGTTGTTGTGGCGCCTTCGTGAGTAGATCTCAGTTGATAAAACTAAAAGTTGTTCTTTTTCTGTGCGGGCTTGTTTTGCAAACTCTCATGTGAGAAGAAAATAACTCCAACTAAGGGAGAAGTTGCTCTTGGGTATTTTGTATAATTCTTTAAGAGGATAAAACTCCTTGAGAAGCGGTAGCTCTTAGGTGATTAGGAACCTTAATAAGCAAACAATATAAAAGTGGTAGATCAATGAAATAACCACAACGAAGAGGAGGTATGTAACAATTGAATATGAAAAACCTAATCTTATTACTCCATAAGATGGGCTTATATAGGCCCTTACAACTCAACTTACAAATAACACCCTATCTATTACTAATATGTCAACACTCCTCCTCAAGATGGGCGAAAGATATCCACTATGCCCATCTTGTCACATCCTCTAATCATATCTACTGAGCTAAGACCCTTAGTCAGACAATCTGCTGCCTGATCCTTAGTTGGAATATGACTTAACTTCAGTAGTCCATTGTCCAACTTCTCTTTGATGAAGAACCTATCGATCTCGATGTGTTTGGTTCTATCATGCTGCACTGGGTTGTTGGCGATACCGATGGCTGACTTGTTATCACACCACAACTTCATCTTAGCTCCATGATCCAGCTTCAGCTCTACCAGCATACTCTTCAACCACAACAACTCTGCAACTCCCAAGGCCATGGCTCTATACTCTGCTTCAGCTGTTGATCTCGCCATCACTGATTGCTTCTTGCTCTTCCATGAGACCAAGTTGCCTCCTATGAAGATGCAGTATCCTGAGGTGGACCTCCTGTCATCAGCACAGCTAGCCCAATCCGAGTCACAGTAACCCTCAATACTCATATGTTCATTTTTTCTGAATATCAGCCCTTTTCCGGGGGCACTCTTCAAATACCTCAGAATCTGGTATACTGCGTCCATATGACCCTTCCGTGGATCGTGCATGTAGCGACTCACCACGCTTACTGCAAAAGAAATATCGGGACGTGTGTGACTCAGATAGATCAACCTGCCCACCAGCCTTTGGTATCTGTCACGATCAACTGGTTCTCCAGCTTCAGCACCCAGCTTGAATCTCTGGTCGATCGGTGTAGTTGCAGGTTTGCATCCTAACATCCCTGTCTCTTTGAGAAGATCCAGTGCATACTTTCTCTGGGATAGGACGATCCCCTCCGCTCCTCGAGCTATCTCTATTCCAAGAAAGTATCGAAGCAAACCCAGATCTTTCACCTCGAATTCCTTACCCAGTCTTACTTTGAATTTATCATCCACATATACTGCAAGCATGGTGATGTGACCTTCACTCCGTCGAAAGAACACGGTATGATCGGCGTTAATCTGCTGGTATCCCATACCTATCATAGCCTGCCTGAATCCGTCGAACCAAGCACGGGGAAATTGCTTCAGGCCATAGAGAGACTTTTTCAATCTGCAAACTTTGCCCATTGTCTGATCTGTGTCGAATCCTGGTGGTATTTCCATGTATACCTCTTCCATCAGATCTCCATGAAGGAATGCATTCTTCACATCTAGTTGGTGTAGCTTCCATCCACCATTTACTGCCAGAGAGATCAAGGTTCGAACAGTGCTCATCTTCGCCACCGGTGCAAAAGTCTCATCATAATCGATGCCATACGAGCCTTATAACGCTCAACCTGTCCATCTGGATTCTGCTTCACAGTGAAGACCCATTTGCATCCAACTGCTCTCTTTCCTTTTGGTAGTTTTACTAACTCCCAAGTGCGGTTCCTCTCAAGAGCCCCTAGCTCTTCGTGTATAGCCATTTTCCATTTTGGATCCTTCTTAGCAACCTGCCAATTGTTAGATACAGTAACAGAGTCCAATGATGCAATAAATGCTCCATGTGCAGGATGAATGTTAGAATATGATACAAACTGGGCAAGATCCCATCCATATCTATCGGGAGGATTTCCCGCATTACTACGAGTAGTCCTCCGTACTGATATTGGTGTGGGAGGAGTAGGGAGAGGAATGTTATCACCTTGGGATAAAACTGGTGGTGGTGTAGGTGTCTCAGGAGTCGGGGCAGGCATTGGCAAGAGACTTGGCAGCACTAGTGGCAATGTAGGTACTGTTCCTGCAATTTGCTTTCCCTTCCTACTATAGGTTAGTAGCTCCCCCTGAACTGTGGGCCTAACACCTCTAGTCTCATTTTCCTTTTCTTTGTCATTCTCCTGCTCCTCCTCAATCAATTCTCCCTGTTCCTCCTCAACCAATTCTCCCTCCCAAGGAATCGATACAGAAATGGATTTCTCCACATTCACCGATCTCTCATCATTCTCCTCCTCTCGCCTCATACTTCTAGTATTGGGCGAGTTACCAACGGATGAAGTTACCTTCCGGGTGTAATATGGTTCGAGTTCTCAAAAGTGCACATCCATGCTCACAAACAACCTTTTCTCCACCGGGCTCCAGCAAATATATCCCTTCTGAGTAGCAGAATATCCCACAAAGATATACTTCACAGCTCTAGGGGCAAGCTTCCCGACAGATGGCCTGTTGTCCTTCACAAAGCACACACAACCAAACACTTTAAGTGGAAGAATCCCACCATTATCTCCCTTCAATGTCTCACACGGAGACTTCCAATCCAGCACTCTCGAGGGCATTCTGTTGATCAGCGCTACTGCGGTCAAGACTGCTTGCCCCCACAATGTTTCTGGGACATTCATAGAGATCATCATGCTTCTAGCAACCTCTAAAAGATGTCTGTTCTTCCTTTCCGCTACCCCATTCTGAGCTGGTGTGTATGGACAGGTTGTCTGGTAATGTATTCCCTGAGCTGACAAATATTCTTCAAACGCTCTGTTGGTATACTCTGTCCTATTATCTGACCTTAATATTTTTACCACTACTCCGTATTGAGTCTGAACAGTCCTATGAAAGTTTTGGAAGCACCCAAACACATCACTCTTATTCTTCATCAGGTATAACCAAGTAACACGAGAGAAGCAATCAATAAATGTAACAAAGTACTTGTATTCATTCATAGAACTTGTGGAACAAGGCCCCCAAATATCTGAATGTACCAAGTCAAATGCATGAGAACTTCTATGACCCGAACTAACATAAGAGCTTCTAGTAAGCTTTCCAAACTCACATGCATCACACACAAGTTTCTGTTTATTTGCTTTCTCAAATAAAGAGGGATACAATCTACCTAAAACACTAAAGGATGAGTATCCCAAACACTGGTGATGAAGCATTAACTCACTCTCAGCACTCATTTTAAATCCTACTCCTGATTTCTCCACGATTGACACTAACGCTGAATCCAGCCCTTCACGAACTACGCCATGTGCCAGTCCCAAGTCTCCGTCCTGTCTCCTTCTCCTGGAAAATCACCTTGGGAATATCAAAAGAAACAATGCATTTTAGTTGGAGGATGATAGAACTAATGGACAAAAGA